GCATGGAGGCAGATGTATGGAAGTTCATCTGTATATTCCTAACAATCCAGCCAATGTCTCCAGGTTCTTTAAGTAAGCATAAATATTCATTACTTCAAAGGGAATTCAAATTTTACACACTCGTCAATTTCCTAGACTGTTACTCAGGCCTAGACCAGGAAGCGATAAAGTCTTGCAGTAGGAAATGTATTATGCAGGCATTTCAGAGAATTTAGAGGCTCATATTTGGAGGGAAATCTGAGTTGCTTCCAGCATTTCTGGTTCACATTTTCTGGGACGGTAAAGGTGTCACATTCCAGGCGGTGCCTTCCAGAGATTGACACGTGGGAAGAGAATCGGGGGGAAGCATGTTATTGTTTGTTCAACACACATGTGAGGCGTGGTGGGACACTGGCTGTGCTCAGGACATAGATAGAAGGAGGAGACCAAAGGTGCGGAACCAGGAGTTTGATGAGGTCACGTGAGTGAAAAGAGTTTCAAGAACAAAGCAGGAGAGAACGTCTACATTCTGGTGAAAAGAGACATTGGAAGAGAAAAGACCAGAGACAAAGACAACCTGGAAGACCTGTCTGAGATCTAGGTGGGAAATCCCAGAGATGCGATTCACAGTTGAGTAGGAACTGCAAAGAGGTCCTGCCCCTTAGGGCGCTCAGAGCAGTCACTGCCTGGCCAGCAATGCAGATGTGAACTGCTAGTGCACAGTAAAAAACCGAGCAGGCAGTGTGCAGGCAGGGGCCACCAGCCCTTTGATTTCTAGTAGAATTTGTAAGGCTGTTGTTACAATTCTTTGCTTCCCATTCATTTTTAGGCACCCGGGGAGTTGTTTCCTGGTATTGCTGTAAAAATTAGACATCTTTGTGTTAAACTCAAACTAGCCGAACCACAGAGCAGGGCAGCTCGGAGTAAGCGTTTCCCTCTGGTACAAACGTCTGTAATGGCTTAATCCAAATAACGCCTGGTATAATCTGTTGACTCAGTTTCTTCTACTGGAAACTATATTGGTTAGTGAAAATGCTTTTAGCTATGAACTGGTTTTAAATTTCAAAATGTGACTGAGGAGAGAGAGGGAGAGACAGAGACACGAACAGAGAGAGTTGTGAAAATTACACTTTGTGTTTTTCAGTTATGGATTAAGCTGTCTTTCCCATTTCTGACTTTACCATGAGTCGAAGAGTTTGGCTTCTCAACCTCTGGGAATTCTATGCAGTTGCAGACTATGAGATTTGAGAGGCTGAAACTAACCTGGTAGAAATTCAAATCCATCTTTTATCTTTTAGATAAAAGCCTTTGAAATCCTTTTAGTGTGAAGTTATCAGCAGACTTGATTCTCATATAACCTCATTACCAACCCCGGGGTTCTTCAGAATGCAGAGCGAGCCATGCTCAGTGACTAGGACTCAGTTTTGATCGCTGCTCCTGCTCAGTGATAAGCCGCCTGTGGTTCACCGGGTTCTGCTCGGGAAATTCCATCTGCAAGCCCCAACACACCCTTGGAGATCCCAGATTACGGCGCATATTGAAGGCGCTTATAAAATGTGCACCAGTGAAACCACTTCAACTTTATATTTGAGCATTTCCAACCCATATTTAACTGCAGAACCTTTTTCTGCATTAACATTTCATGACTCACCTAGGGCTTTGCAAGCTAAGAAGTGGAAAGGCCTTTGAGAAACTGCTGCTTCAGAGTGAAGGTCTCTACCTTAGGAGGCGATGGCGATGTTCTCAATCTGTCTTTGTTTCACAGATTGCGCTTGATGGTGTCCCAACATTTTCAATGAACTCCATTTTCCTCTCAACACAGATAGACAAAAAATTAGTTTGTTAGGTGTTAGGGTTTTGCATATTTTCCTGAAAAAAAAAAATTCGAATCAGTGTGGGAACTGGAACCACATGGCATTTGAAGGAATAAACCTCCTATTGATGAATTAATGAGGAAAAAAAGATGAAGTAAAAGTTGTTGGATCCAGCTTACCAATTGCTATCTTAAGGCTTACTTCGACCAAGCTCATTCATTACTTGAGGAACAAACCTAGTTTCCCAAACTGAAGCTTGTAGTGACTTACTTCCTCCATCTGGGTGTGATCTTAACTGTACACATTTACATTTTTAGCTGCACAGCCTCTGGCAGCTGCTCAGGTTGCCTGCACTAAGCAGAGCCAGGAGATAAGAACATTCCTGCTTTTATTGCTTTCTACAGCATTTGAAGTCAGGGTGGGAGTGGAAAAGGTTTACTCATCACAGCCATAAATGTCCATTGGCTGATGCCAAAGAGGTAAAGCCGTCCTCTTTGGAAGATGGGGTAAATCTCTTAGGCTTCTGGTCTTCATTTGTTAAAGCTTGCAGATGAGGAAACCTGCCCCCTGTTCACCCAATAGCCAGTCACCTCCACCTTTAATTAGAGGCCAGGGCTTGAGGGAATTTGCCAGGTGTAATGCTTTCAACTGTTCACCCCCAGATGACCTCACTTACCCTAATCTCCAAGAACTCCACAGGACCCTGAGATGTCTTATGACTGCCTGGGTCTGACTGACTCCAGGAAACAGAATTCCAGGCAGGGTGCATTGTGGAGACAGCACCCCAGACAGAAACAAGACATCCACAACAACGTCACCCTGGGCAAGGAGTTGCCATTGGTCAGATTCAGAGGTGATTCTGGGTCCTGTGAGTCGAGCATGCCTAGGGAGACATTTAAGTCCCCGAGTTTCCATGATTTCCGAGATGTGTCAGTGTGGTCTAGATGAGCTCATTCCCGGGACCTAATACCTTACGCGTTCTTCGTTGAACACTAGCTCTTTGATAAAAAAGCTGCCAAAATCATGACAGAATCTGATGGGGGAATTTTTATTGCCTAATAAATAATCCCATAGACCATAATTCCATATTAGCAACTAAATACCCCAAATGTATAAAGCATGTGGAGTGAGAGCCAAGATACGGATGAAAAACGGCCAAGTGACACTTCTCAAGAATTATTCATCTCTTGTAATGTGAAGGGGGGAGTGGAGCACTCTCCTGCACCCAGGCTGGTGGAGCTGCGTGCGGCCTGCAGGCCATAAATAATGACATGGGCCATGTCGCTTTTCCTTGAGTTCTCTGTGAAACCCTGGAGGAAACCTCAAGCTTTCTTCCCGGGATGAAGAAGGGCTGTAGACAGCCACCGTGGCTCTCTTCTGCCGGAGGGGCATGGAGATCAGAGGACAGGAAAAAGAAGTTCCCAGATTCAGAGACCTCTAGGGTTGGTCCGTTCCTGAACATTTCTCCATCTGGCTGTTCTGGTGGCCAGGTTCGTGCTTTTGTGGAGAGTCACTTTTGCCAACAAAATGGATCCGTTTCTAATTCTCCTGATGTTAGATGGGAACACTTCACTGCTGGGCTCCAGCTCAGCTCAGGTTCAGGTCCTGAGATGGGGACGTGGTGGTGGGGGGGCGGGCAACAAGGAAAAATTGTGACTGCCAGGTGGATGGTACTCAAGCGGCCCCAGTAGCCCAGACCATCTTTATTTATACTTAAATAGAGTTTTTCTTACCACGGTTACATCAACAGTTTTATTATGGGCTCCTATTTTTGACTTCTAAGAACTATCTCATATTTTAAGTAATACATCATAATCATTATGAAAGGCCCCATTGTTCCCCTTTATGTTTTCCCAAATAGACTTTCCCACCTCCTACCCAGTCGTATTCTAGAGTTCAGCGTTTTTGCAGGCTTAACTAGATATCGAGCTGAACACATCTTGTTCTTGCAGCACTTACGTCAGCTGGCAGCTACTTGCGGTTAAAAAGTACTAGACACAGGTACAGTGCTTTAAGGACAACAATATTCAAACCCAAACAGCTTTTTTCATGTCTGCAACAGTTCCCTCTTCTACAAGAGGGTCCCCATGTCTCAATCTCTCGGTAAAAGGCAGCCTTTTATAAGGCACTCATACGCACCCAACTGTCTCTTTTGAGTCAGAGAAGTCCCCAGGATTAGGAGCTATAGTTAGTAATTCCAAGATAAGAGATTTGAGAAGCATTAACCCCTGCTGAATCTTAGGGGGAACTACTTAAGAAAGAACAGAATTTCCAGGAGGAAATTACAGCTGTTGCACGTGTGACCGACAAAGGAGAAGTAAAAACTGCCCGAAGAATCAACAACACAACGATGGAGAAAAGAGTCTGCAAGCTGCACAGATTTTGCAAATTCCTATGCTGTCCTGTGGACTACTGGTCCCTGCCAAGTCAGAGTCTGAGTCTGTTTCCCTTCACTGGGTGCCTTGCCCAGAGGAAACCCACTGGACAGGCACTTATATGCTAATCAGAGCCAACACTTTACACACACACACACACACACACACACACACACACACACACACACCCCGCTATAATCTTCCATCTTCTGAAAACCTGTTGTTACCACCCTCCCCCAACTTTTCTCTCCGATCACTCCCTTTGAAAACCACTACAGCTCTGACCACCTGTAAGCTGCTATCCCCTGAAAATAAAAATGAGAGCAATGGTAAAATGTGCGGAAAGGCAGTTCTGCCATCGCGTCTTGCTTTGGGGGGACTGTGATGGACAGACAGACCAGCGTTCTGCAGAAGGCCATCCTCTGCCTGCGGGAGGTGGATCTTCGCATGGAGGTTGTGTCCATCCTATGCACTGTCATGTCTTCCTAGAAATCACCTTGGGAGAGCATGGCCGACACTCAGAGTTGCCATCTAAGGAAGCAGGAGACGGTTCTTTTGATAAACTTCCTGAAAGTGAAGGTTCATCTCATTATTGGGGTCCATGTTTAGGAAAATTCTCCATTGTCATCCGAGTCATTTGACGTCTGGTGGGAGAGCTACTTCCTTAGAGATCTGGTTCCCTCCGCCATCCTCTGGTGCCTATATTTAGAGCATTTCATGTAAAGTGAATTTGAGGGGCGTCCAGGAAGACAGCCTGCTGTGTTCTTTTCCATCAGGCAGGACTCGCATATCGCGTTTCCCATCTCAATGAAGGGTTGTTTTCTCCTGACAGACACCAGATACTGCTACACTCAGCACACCATGGAAGTCACAGGAAACAGCATCTCTGTCACCAAGCGCTGTGTCCCACTGGAGGAGTGCTTATCCACGGGCTGTCGAGACTCGGAGCATGAAGGCTACAAGGTCTGGGGAAGCATTAATTCCCGCTCCCTTTAGTGGATTCTCCAGGGCTCATTAACAGATCTTCCCCACCCATTCCTACGTAGGCTCTGAAAATGTACTTGTTTTCCTGTTTGCTTTAGGAGATTACAGTGCGTGGCTGGGCAAAGGACAAGCAGATGAAGCGTATAAGGTCTTGTAAAGAGGATGGTGAAGGCATAGGCTTTTTCCTCCCTTAGAAGAGTCTGGAGAGGTCAGGGACCACTCAGACCCATCTTCATAGAACATGGCGGATACTCCGTCTTCCGCCTGAGGCAGCAGGAGGCAGTATAGTTTGATAACTTTCTCTAGAACGAGGGTGCATGTCGTTCTTGGGGTCCCAGTTTAGGGCAGCGCTCCATTGGCACCAGAATCATTCCACAGATGATAAGAAAGCCACTCCTGTGGATTTATTCCCTTTAAACACTAGCTGGGCCTGTGGGAAATGAGTGTTGGGCTGTCTAGGACGGAGACTATAAAGAAGCCAGCTTTGCTTATCCCTGGAATCTTGCTTGTCCTTGCAGTGCTCCAGCGCTGACTCTGTGGTCTTAATCTCGCACACTTGGGCCTTGACTTGACATCTACCCACCTGTCAGGTTTCCCTGGGGTTCAGGGAAACTCCCTTTCTCGTACCATGGAACAGCCTTGCCATCAGTAGCTGCTTTCATTCATTAGAAGCAGAAACAATTTTTAAGCTACTTCTCAGATTCACTAAGAATTTAAACACCACCTGCCTCCTTGTTACTAATTTGAAGAAAGGTCAAGTCAAGGTCATTACCTGACCCCTCCAGCAAGCCGTGTGTGGCTCTCAGGTATTATTGTGATCTTTTTTTCTCCCAAGAGGAGCACAGGGAATCTGAAGAGGTGTCAGTTGCTTGTGTTACACAGCTAGTAAGAGAAAGGCTGAAATTTAAACTTGTCCCTAACTTCTGGTCTCTCGTCTCAGTATTATGCTATTTTGGGAACTCATGTTGGTTGTGGTCAGTGGTTTGCATTTCTCCTGACTAGTAACTATAGGATAATAACCACCTTATGAATCTGATTCATCTGGGATCTTGTTAAAATTCAGATTTTAGTCCTTCACTTCTGGGGATGGTATGAGATTCTGCACGTCTGACGAGCCTCCAAGTTGGTGGTGTTGAGGGTGCTGGTCAACACAGTGGGGAACCCTGGCCCCAAATAACTTCTGTCGATGAATCCTTGGATTCGCTTCTTCCATAGGCTTCAAGGGTAAAGTGATATAAAGCAAGAGTAATTGAATAAATGAAAACCCTTCAGATGTCTTCCACTCAAGAGAATAGAGTTGACTATATCCATAGAATTAATAGGGGTAAACATTCAGGTTCACAGGAGCCGAGTCATTGCCACTTAATCCTCATTGGGAAAATCTCAAAGAGAAAGTTTTGCCCACTTAAGAGTTACTTCCTGCTGTCAGGAAGAGCTTCTTTGAGGAAGGAGGGCAATTTTCATAATTCCCATTTTCGAGGACCATGAAGCCTAGCAGTTAGGGCAGATGAGATGCCAGAAACGTAACATAGGTTCCCTGAAATGTAGGCTGAAATTTTTCATGTGGATGGAGCACGTTGCTTCTAGATGGGATGCTGTTCTTGCCCCTCCTGAATGTCAGGCACCGTTGCTTTTGTAGAACAGACTTCTCATTTGCCAGGAGGTATACCGTTTCTTCTGATACCCCGCCTCCTTCTGAGACAACCTGGCCCCAGCTCACCCTTTGTTTTCTTACTTTCTTTCAGATCTGCACCTCCTGCTGTGAAGGAAATATCTGTAATCTGCCACTCCCTCGCAACGAGACTGATGCCACATTTGCCACAACGTCACCTATAAATCAGATCAACGGGCACCCACACTGCATGTCAGTGATTGTGTCCTGCTTGTGGGTGTGGCTTGGACTCACCTTATAGCAGCCCTCTCCACCAAGCATAGCTCTGTGGGTTTCCCTGTGGCCCGCAGTCATGCATGAGTCATCGCCTGGCAGTAGCGACAGAATGCAACCACAGCGCCCCGGACATCAGCACAGCCAGGCATTCGCATTGCCATGAAGAATAAGCATTGCTTCAAAGCTGTCATTTCCAGCCTAACCAAAACTCCATCTAAGTTAGCCTGTCCCCCATACAGACCCTGATTTCTATACCACAAACCTGCGGTTTTGCTCCGAGAAAGAGTTCTGCATTTATGGATGTCTGGGTTCTTGATTCCAAAGCCATGTGTGAGCTACGGGAGAAATAGCCATGGATGCAGGCGATGTGAGCTTTCTGGAAAAGGAAAGAACCCCTAGCTTAATTCAAATCACAGCTTCACCTGTGGTTTTGGAATTTTAAAACTTTAAATCCAAAAGTAAATGGAATAATTTCTTTGAGATTCTGATGGAGTCCCTAAAAGTCCCTACTTTGCTCAGTTTCATTTCCCCAGCCTTCTTATCTTAACGTAGGGAAACACATTCCTGCTGCTCTTTGAAAAGGACAAGAAAGGCAATTATCAAAGTTTGTTGTATTTGTAGAGTTGACGAGAGAAAGGTTTGTGAAATGAGTGCCCACAAGAGGAGATTTACCCCTTCTTATAACTGGAGAGCTAGGCCTTGCCCTGAGAACTAATTCTGTTTCCCTAGTTCCTGGATCACAGCTGGACCAGGAGCATCTACAAATTCGTGAAGTGCGGTGGGGTTGTTTTCTCCGCGTGTTGCATTCCATTCAGATATAGCTAATCCAGTCAGAGAGAGGATGTCAGAATGACAGAAGGTTTTGTGGAGCTGGAGAGATGGCTCAAAGGTTAAGAGCATTGACTGCTCTTCCACAGGTTCGGAATTCAATTCCCAGCCACCACATGGTGGCTCACAACCAACTGTAATGAGATCTGGTGCCCTCATCTGGCCTGCAGAGATACATGGAGGCAGAACACTGCATACACAATAAATAAATAAATAAATAAATAAATAAATAAATAAATAAATACATCTTAAGAAAGGAGAGAAAGAAAAAAAGAAAGAAAACAAGAAAACAAGAAAGCTAGCTAGCTTTGTGGAGGTTAATCCTAGTTCATTGTGAAAGCCCAGAAATGGCTAAGCAAAATTCTCTCACTGTCCATAGTATTTGCTGCCAAAGAGCCCTCTCCTTCCAAAACCAAGTGACTTTATGGAGAAAGTGCTGAATTAAATTATTGGTAGGTCAATAAGGTAAGAAGACTTCTGTGCTAGGATGAGGGGAAGATGGATTGTAAGTGGTGTGTGAGCTAGGGGTAGTATTTGTATCTCTCAGGTGCTGCCTTTGGAGTAGACAAGGTTTTTGTCATCCTTTATGTATTTTTTTAAACCTAAAAACTGCATTGTTTTCTTTTTCCATGTAAATCCTTTAAATGACATTTATTTTTGTATGGTATAAACTAGAAACTAAATTATATTTCAAAAAATGCTTTTTTTCTGAACAAAATACGAAATTAGAATGTTTGTTTTCAACAATGGTAGAACTTACCATTCATTCATGGAGAGTTATCAATGAGCATTGCACCGATGCTAACAACAACAAAAAATGTTCATTTTTCTGTGAGCATGAGTTGTATGTTCGCCTCAAGGGTTTTACTCGTGGTTTCCTCAGAAGCGTTGTTCTGGAAATATTTGCGTGGAGACTATCATTGGTCCAAGTATCTCTGCGGGGCTGTGGGTTGTGTTAGCATGGAACTTGGCGGAGCAAAGCCCTGATGAAGAGGACCGTGCTGTTAAAATACATCTGCCCTGCACAGGGAACTTTAGCTCATGAAATGAGACCCCCTCAGGGACTAAATATGAACTAACAGCAGAAACTCTGATACACATCATTGGAGTTGCATTGCACAGCCTTAATTCAGAGTTTGGCAGGCGTATCCATTTCCTGCTTATAACGGAATGGGAGAGTCAGGAGAGAAAGGCGCGTCCTAAGCACGTGCCAGGCACTTTGCTAAGCACTTTACATAGTTAGGCCATATAACCCTCCAGCAACTCTGAAAGGTACAGCACATACCTATGCTTTACAGATGAAGGTCCTGAGACTCAGAGATGTTGGATAAATGAAGCCTTTTCCTTTAGATTTAGTGTATGTGGGATGTGACAGGTTTGAACGGAAAAGGACGTGGAATTTCTTTGCTAGGAAAACTGACAGGTCTGACTTCATGGATATTGGCCCATCGTATCATGTAGAACACATTCTGCTTCCCAGTATGATATTTGCATGTGTCCCCGGTTAAAACTTTTTTTGGGGGGAGTAAAGTTATAGCTTCTCTATTTATCCCTCTGGTCAAAAGAGGAGACAGTTGACCTTGCATCTAAAGATGCTTTAAGACAATGGGAATTTGATGTTGTATATAACTATAAGTACCATTTTTTTTGTGTGTATGTGTGTGCATGGTCACACTCCACTGATATTTTCCAAGTGCTGCATGCAATCTGAGTGAGAGACAAGGAACTGAGCACACTAGAGCCTGCCTGGCTGGTTTACAGGGACAAGGTTCTCAAAGGTACAGATTGCCCACCGCCTGGAAATTAATTGCAGCCACTGCCCACATGCACGGTACACATCCCTGATGCCTGTCAAAGTGGCTTTTGTCTAATTCTCTAGAAAGAATGTGATTTTTTTTTCACCAGCCCTAGCCTCAAAGCCAAGGAGGAGCCATCCATGTCGACGATCCAGGACAAGTTAGCCATCTGACCATTCTGTCACTTTAAACTGTCCATTAAACCTCACCATTGGTGATGGCTTGACATGCAAAGAGCCATGATGTGTATATTAACCTATATGCCACATATTTATTTTTAGACTCCCTTCAACATCCATGCCAATATGGGATTAATGCCTAAATGTAAATATTGTACACTTTGTAAATCAATGAATAAAGATTTTAAGTGTGTTTCATCTGGCTTCTTCATGCTAGTGTGGATGGCAATCAGTGGTTAATACACTGGCTTAGATACAAGCCGTGGACTTCTTTCACGGGCTGACTTTCTAGAGATGTTACAGTCAAGAACTACATACATGAAAGATACTCTCTCATGCCAAGTGATTCATACAGAGGTAAGTGCTCAGAAAATCAGAACTTTTCAGACTGGTCTATAGTTTTTCTTGAACATTTCTTTGTTAAAACCCATGGACAGCGTGTGTGTGTTCACACGTACCATGTGTATGGAGGTGAGAGGACAACTTTGGCGAGTTGGTTCTTTCCTGACAGCGTCAGTCGGAGGAGGACACGTTTCAGGAGGTCTCCCCCACCCACCGCTGGCTGAAGTTCAGTTGGTAGGCTTGTGACGCATGAACTTTCACCCGCTGCGCCATCTTGTCAGCTCCCCAGTGTGCTTCAGCTCCAGCCTTTGGTCTCACTTGTTCCTCTTGTTAGCGGATTATTAACACCGTGACTACTTCCTTCTGCGAGCAAACACCAATCATACTTTGTGCAGATTGCTGTCGCTGTAATTAGTTGAGTGTAATTTTTGTTTGTAGTGATCATTTCAAATTTAAAATACTTCAGATTTAAAATTCAGAGACTGAGAAGTGGCCTCTCTAGAGTCCGCCTTTTTGTTCTAAGGGCAATGCTGACTTTTACATATCAGCTTATCTTCGAAGCACTGCAAAATGCTCTGTGCCTGGCTTCCATTGATCAACATGAACGCATTCACTGCTTGATGGCTACAGCTGTGGCGTGTCCAAGGAAGGTCACACTCGTGGTTTATCTTAAGAGACTGTGATTCCTCTTTGTCCCACATGTCCCCCAGGATGACATGCGTGATGTCGCCCCCTTTCTCTGGCAGTTTCACTAGGAAGTTACTGTTCAGGTTGCTGAGTTGAAGGTGAAAGGAGCATTAGGAAACATCTGCCATACCCCCTTCGTTTTCTCTGCGTGAGAAAAGAGCCCCCAGAGAGCCCAGATCGCTTGTTACTGCAGACACTGCACAACTGTGTTAAGGATCTAATTCTGCCAGGTGTCCCTTCTGCGATGCTTGGAGTAATTAAGCACTGGCTACATCAAGCAGTTTAGCAGTGCCCTTTTTCTTTATTCTGGCTGTAGGGTGATAGGTGCTTTGGGTATCATCAAGGCAGGGACTAGAAGCAGAAAAGGAAAAACTTCCAATAAGAAAACAAGGAAGCCTAATGAAAGAATGTTCATCCTGATTCAAGAAGAGAAGTACTCAGAAAAATAATCACCTCCAGACTCATGAACTAAAAAAGAAGAACAATTTGGGGAAAAAATACAATATCGTTTAGTTGGATATAGTTTGGAGTTACCTTATATCTGAAGTCTTGAACTGACCTTCCTAAATCATGTGCCCTAGAGTTCAAGCCTCCACTGACATCCACACTTGAAGAGATACCAGGGTCGTGTTGCCAAATCAGGGAAAGTTCATCCATAAAGAAAGTCTGTTGACAGGCACTTCACTGAGAGTCTTGTGAAGAAAGGGGGGTATAGTATAAGCCAGAATGATCAGGATGGGGGAACCCACAGAGACAGCTGACCTGAGCTCACCGGAGCTCATGGACACTAGACCACCACCAGTTAGGGAGCCTGCATGGGACTGACCTAGGCCCTCTGCATGTGTGTGACAGTTGTATAGCTTGGTCTTTTAGTAAGGCTTCTAACAGTGGGAGCAGGACCTCTGCCTGGTGCTTAGCTGGCTTTTGGTAACCTGTTCCCCAAGTTGGATTAGCCTCAACATAAGCTGAAGAACTTGGTCGTGTCCCAACCTGATGTGCCATGCTTTGTGCAAGTCCATGGGAGGTCTGCCCCTTTCTGAATGGAGACGGAGGAGGTGCAGATGGGGAGGGGGAGTAAATGGGAAAGGGGAGAGGGTGGGAGAAGAGGGAAGGGAAACTGGTTGGTATGTAAAACAAATGAAAAAATGTTATTTCAATAAAATGAAAAAGATAAAGTCAAAAATGAAAGAAAGAGAGAAGGAAAGAAAAAGAAAGAAAGAAAGTCTATTGAGTGTGGCCATAAGGAAAAAGCACCCTCAGAGTCAACCAGTGGGCAAATGGAAAAGCTAAAAATAAATCATAACCTCAATAAATCCATTCATCTTTGAGGAGAATTCAGAATCCATGCAACGTCTGGGTCCTACTCTATCTACAGAGATGCCTGACTGTTGGGACAGAGTCTGCTCCAGAGTTCAAGCATCTGTTCTCTCAGCCATGTTTTCCTCGCAGCTGACTATGATTGGCACCCACCCAGTCTCTCCCAGTGGTGAGGCAGGACCGAGCAATTTGGAGCCTACATCACATGATGTGAGCTGAGGAGCTGCTCAAAGTGAGAGCTCACACTTGAGCGATTCTTTGTGCTGGGACTCGTTGGTGAGAGGTGCTGAGTGGACCATCGTGGCGGTGAACACATTTTGGGCTTCCTCCTGACTCAGCCTGGCTTGATTCAGCCTGGCGTTCTGGTGCGTGTCAGCATCAGGCTTAGCTCTGGCTTTGAAGTTGTTGTTGGTTTTTTTTTTTAATACTTGAAGAGTTGGGCCCATCCCTGACTTTAATACTAATGATACTGTGAATGTCTTGCTGTTGACCTACATACCAGGTGTCCTGTGTAGAAACACACCCTCCTTGATGTGGGAGTGGCCGAGACCACCATGAAATTAGAAATCAGACCTTCTACAAACTCTTAAAAATCAGGTGATTAAACACAACAACAGCAGCAACAATAAGCCTGTAAGTCTTATTTGTAATGAATTATTTAGTAGGCCGGTGTGATGTGTTGAGTTTGTGTTCTAGTTGAATTTGCAAACTACAGCCAGAACTGAGACACCAGCTTCATTTCAGGTTTAGCAAGACTATTCTGGCAAAAATGATAACAAATCCAAAAGAAAAAGCTCAGCTAACAGCAAGAGCT